CCGCCAGGGCCCCTTAGGCCGCGCGGTGCTGCTGGCCGCCGGCCGACGCCCGTGCTGCCGGCGTGCGGCCCCGCAGCACGCCTCGCTGGCCGACGGTCCCAATGATGGGCACCAACCCATCCCTCTACCCCCCCGTGGCGTCGCCAGGGCGCCGAGGCGGCGACGAGAGAGGGAGCCGGCAGTCGCGCGGCGCCCAGGCGCTCACTTGTGATGTGCACGGGGCCGCAGCGGTCCAGCGTGTAGTTGTAGTTGTTGTAGAAGCGCTCATAGGCGTGGACGTGGCCGTTGAGGATGAGGTTGGTGCCATACTGCATGGAGAGTGTGTAGGTTGGGGGTGTGCGGTCGGTTGTGGGTTGGTGGTTGGCGGAGGGTCGCTGAAGTTTGGGGTCCAAGGTGGTGGAAATGAGTGGCGGCATGTGGGGTGTGCCTCTGGGGCCTCTGGAAGGGCGGCGCTGCTGGGGCCATGGGTGTCGCCAGGGAAGTTGGAGGGTTGGGGTGGAGGATACGCTCATCATCCAGGGTGGGCGCTCACCCGGCCGCGGGGCGGCAGCCGCGCGGCTGGAGAGCCGCGACCGAGGAGGTGCGCAGCTGTCGGTCCCGCAGGCTCAAGAAAGGGCCGGCGGACAGCCCCCGGGCCCTGAGTGACCCGATGGCCTCGTCCCTTCATGACAGCTGCATCCCACCCTCAAGCCTACACACACACACACACACACACACACACGCGCGCGCGCACACAAACACACACACACACAAGAGTGCGCGCGCGTACACCCCACCACCCCACCACCCCCTCACACACCTTATAGAGCAGGGGCTCATAAGTGAGCCTCATGCACTCCACTTGCTTGAAGGACGCCTCGTAGGAGCTGCGCATGGGAGCGGCAGCACGGGGGTGCACAAGGGGTCGCCCAGGGATCGTGCAGGGGTCCGCCGGCTCCACCACACAGGGGGCTCGCGTGGCCGAGGCCGCCTCAGACAGGCAGCAGAGTGCTCTCTCTGGAGCCTCCAATCTTGCAGATTGACTGGGACACCCCCTTCTTCTTATAGAGCTGCACCCTCAGCCCCATCTGTCGTAGCTCAGTCGAGAAAAACGCCACGCCTGCGCATGCGCAAAACCGTGCGCGGTCAAACACGGCGTCGGCCCGGTCAAGATCGCGGCGCCGCTCCGCGCGCCGCCCACCTCACGAACGGCGCGTGGAAGTACACGATCAGCCAGGGCGTGGCCTTGCGGTCGAATTTTTTGAGGTCGGCCTCGAGCCACTTGTACTGGGCCGTGTTCACAGTGAACGTGTCGTTGGGGATGTATGACGTCAGCGCAATAAAGTGGGCGGTGCCTGAGAGAGGCGGGGAAGGGGTTTGCGTGGTGGTGTGTGTGTCAGAGGTCGGTGTGTGAGTGGGTGAGAGAGAGGTCAGTGTGTATAAGCCTGTGTGCGCATGCATGCGCATGCACGTTTTGGGGCGCTGTGTGTCAGCTTGCAACCAGGCTGAAAGGATGGGTGCGCGAGCAAGACGCAGGCCCGAGTGCAAAGAGGGCGGCGCCAAGCTAACCCGCACGACCGCGCCGGCATTCTCTGATGTGGCGGCTGCAGGTTTGACCGAGCTGAGCAAGGCGCGCGCGTGCGCGCGCCGCACAGCCAACGCTCGGAATGACCGCTCCCCGAGCTCCTTTTGCCCAGGGGATCACATGCGCACCTGGGACGTCCCATGAGTAGTAGAGGTTGTTGTCGGGGGAGGGGTTCTTTTTCGTGAACTTGTTTGGGAAGGGCTTGGCCTTGGTCTTGTCCTGGGGCACAGGGTACCTGGGAACAACAAGGGGCAAAGCGTGCGTGAATCGGGGGTGCAGGTGTGAAGCAGAAGGAAGGGTGCGGTGCGGGGGCCAACGGAGTGGGATTCGCGTTGCGAGCATGGGCGTACGGCTGCAAATGGAAGGTGAGCAGGGCTGAATGACGCGCGGCTTGGTGGCAGGCAGGGAGCAACGGGGGCCCGGCACGGGGCGCAAGGCGCACGGGCGTGTAGCGCGTGCGGCGCCGGCTGGGGTGGCGACGAGCGCCCACCGGGTGTTGTAGGCAGCAAACACGGTGCCGTCGGGCTGGAACTCAATCTGCAGGGCACAGAGGGCATAGGAGCCGCCATTCGGCATCGGGTGAGCGACCGCACGCGTGAGCCGCAGTCGCAAAGCAGCGCCGCCGGCCTGGAGCCTCGTGTTCCCCTTCCTCGCGGATACGGAAGGTGCAATAGGGACACCCAGACAGTCCATTATGGCCCTCCCCTCATCCCGCCCTCGCTCCGCGGCCACCCGTGGTGCAGTTTGGGGACCTTCATGTCTTGCCGATGACAACACATCGCCCGCATGCAGGGAATTTTGGCCATTGGCGTATTCTCCCTTCCCCATTTCAAAGCCCGTCCCCCTCC